CTTCTTTCCACATGCAAGGTCCATCCATGGGATGACAGGGTACCAGGTCTCAAGGAGCCTCAAGCCTATCTTGGGAGAGTTCTGTTGTTTCCCTCTCCTGTTTCCCTTCTCCTCATGTCACCATCTGACTCACCACACACACATTTTTAAAAACAACACCTATTTACTATTTCACAGTTTCTGTAGGTCAGAAGTCCAGGCACAGCATGACTGACGTCAGCTGGGGCTGCTTTCTCATCTAGGGCTGGGACCTCTCTCAAACTCACTCGTTGCTGCCAAACTCTAATGCCCTGTGGGAGAAGGACTAAGGGCCCCCATTTCCCTCCTCGCTGATGGCCAGGGACCACTCAGCTCCTGAAGTCAGCCTGCAGTTCCTGCTCATGTGGCTCCCATGGGCAGTTCATACATGGATGTTTACTTTCTTCCAAGCCAGCTGGAGCATCTCTGCCTTCCTCTTCTGCAATCAGCTGAGAAAATGCTCTGCTTTCAAAGGGCTAGCTTGATTAGGTCAGGCCTACCACGACAGCCTGCCTATCTGGAGGTGCACTGATTTAATTAACCCCTTCACAATACAGTTGACCCTTGAACAACTCAGGGGTTAGGAGCACCGACCACCATGGAGTCAAAAACCCAAGTATAACATAACAATCATCCCTCTGGATCTGTGGTTCCGCATCCACGGATTCAACCAACCTTGGACCGTACAGTACTCGTCTGTATTTACTGAAAGAAATCCAAGTATAAGTAGACCCGTGCAGTTCATACCCACGTTGCTCAAGCGTCAACTGTACTACCTGCATTCACGTGTGACTAAGTAACTGGGAAAAGGTGTGTATATACCTAAGGCTAGGAAACTTGGGGAGACGAGAGCAGCGGGGGGGACTGTGGTAGACGGAATCACCTTGTATTTTATTTCTTTATTGTCTATTTCACCAGCCAGAAGGTACACTTCACCAAGGAAAGTATTTGTCTCCTTTTGTTTACTGTTGTATCCCCGCACCTACAGCAGTGCCAGGTATATGGTAGGTGCTCAAGGGTTAAAGGAACCTTTAGATCACCAGAGCAGTATTCGATATACGTATATATATACCTGTTTAGTTTATTCACAGGCTGGAAACGGGACTCCTAACTGTATACATTAAACTTTTGGTTCAGTGAAACCATGCAGGAATCCTGGGAATTCCACACGATATAATTTTCTCTCTGCCACAATCATTGTATGGCTTTTAACAAGATACAGTTGATTCTCGTTATTCGTATTTGTGAATCTGCCCACTCGCTAAAGTTTATTTATAAGCCCCAAATCAATACTCTCAGTGCTTTCATGGTCATTTGCAGACATGCACAGTGGTGAAAACTTTGAGTCACCCAATGCACACGTTCCCACTGAGGCTGAACAAGGCAATGCTCTGGTTTCTTGTTTCAGCTCATACTGTTAATATGTGTCCTTCTCATGGTATGTTCAGTGCCAGGCTTTTTGTGTTTTTCCTTGGTGATTTCACTGTTTAAAACAGCCCCCAAGAGCAGTAGCTTAGTGTTCCGAAGCTCGAGAAGACAGTGACGTGCCTTACGAGAGAAAAAATACATATACTGAATAAGCTTCATTCAGGCATGCATTATAGTGCTCTTGGCCCTGAGTTCAATGTTAATGTATCAACAATGTAAATTAAATGAGATGTCTTTAAACAGAAACACGAAAAACACAAGGTTAGGTACCGATCGGCTGATGAAAACGTGTGACCAGCAGCTGCAGGGACCTAACCCTGTGTCTCCCCCGGGAGCAGTGGTCCAGTATTTGCGAGTCCTGTGTTCAAGTGGGCCTCACAGAACACAGTTACAGCAAATAACACGACCTGACTGGATTAGCCCCATCTTACAGATGAAACAATGAAGCGGACAGGGATGTGAAGCGGCAGCACCCCCCCCCACCGCGCACTCCAGCACACCATCCTGTTTTAGTTCCTTCACAGCCCTCATGACTGATAACTGTGTTTACTCATTTATTTTCGGTCTGAGCCACTGCAACAGTCAGTTCCCTGAGAGTTTGGGGTTCTTGTCCACCTTCTTCCCTGTTACCTCCTCATGCCAAGAACCATTCCAGGCACATACCCAACCGAATGAATAAAGAAACCTCCTATATGTAATTGTGTAAATATTAGGGGGATTGATACTTTAAAGGGAAAGGTAGTTACTTTCATTGTGTTAAATTCAAAATATTCAGCGAGACAAATGCAGGCTTCAGACTAAGTGGAGAGAGAAGAAAACCCGAAAAGGACACCAGAGCTGCCTGAAGTGGCGCTGTCTCAGACACCCGTGGGCAGGTAAGACTGCTGGGGACGGCAGCTGCACAGCTGCACCAAGCTCCCGAGACTCTACAGAGGAAGAAGAAAGCTACACTCTGGAACGGTATTCATCTGCGACGGAAAAGCCAGCAAGCAGAGGGAACAGGCAAGAGCAGAGATGCTGCCTCCAGGCCCAGCCGCAGGTTGAACCACGTGTGAGAGAGAGAAGCTGAGGAGAGCAAAACCGAGAGCGGAACTCGAACCTGGCCGTGATGCCGCCCCTGCAGAGTGACAGAAATGTAGCTGAGTCTGCCGGGGACTGGCGTCTCCGGAGCCGATTCCCTTCAAAGGTTTGGACACTCCTAGGCCAGGCGGAACTGATGGGCTCCGGAGGCCCGCAGCACTTCCAGCATCGGGGGGAACTGACGAGCAAAAGGACTCCAGGATTTTCTTCTTGTGAATACAGAGAGGAAAATGAGGTAAGACCCTCTTACATCAACCCTACTGTAACAGACAAATAGCACAAGAACTCGAGACAAAGAGGCGGGATTCCAGAATTAATGTTCACGGCTGCTCTGAGCAAAAACTGAACAGTAAACAATAAGGATTTCAAAATTAAAACAAAAGAGCCACTTCAGTATTCCAATTTAACCTTCAAAAATAAAGAAGATCTCAAGCACCGTGGACTGAGAATTCCATTCCACCTCAACACCCCGTACTCCTGAGTTATTATGAGAACAGACTGCGACGCAATTCAACTCGTGCTCCAAAATGCAACAAGCAGCTTCAACAGGCCATGCTGGAGGAAGCAGCAGGCCTCATCATCATCTCCTGATTCATATTTTGGTAGCAAGGTTACAATTAGCTCACCGGTGGAGAATAAACCTATTTATAACACAGGAGTCCACCTGAAAGACACAATCATCTAAAAAGGTTTTTCGACAAAAATGAAGCACAGCCTCTTCCTGTACTGACTGCAGATTCCCAAGGTCCTTTCAGATGAAGTCCTCAGTCTAACCTTCCCGTGTTCACAGGCACCATTCTGGCCACCTCTCAGCCTCCATGTTCTTATGTAACATTTACATAGTGCCATAAACATACCCGGAGTTGCGTAAGAATTAAAACGTTGCCAAACCAATAAAGCCTAAAGCAGGTCACTCCCTCCAGACTGCCTTTGATTAGCAAAGGTATGCTGCCCAGCCTAAGATGTAAGGGCCTGTCAAGAGACAGAAATTAACTTGAGGAAATCTGAAACGGGTCCACAAAAAGGCACAAAGAAGAAGAAATTAACCACACTGTGACATATGATGCTTCTATCAATCCCAAGAATTACTCTGCCCCATAAGATAAAAAGTAACCCAACATTGCCTGGTCTCTGAAGTCAGAAACTGTGTCTAAAAATACCTCCCAGCCAACTGGCTATCAGTAAGTCAGTCTCACAAATGTCCCAATAAGAGCGACACAGACTAGTTCCTTACTTTACAGAGGCAAAACTGAGGCAGTCACAGAAAGGTTAAGTGCCTTATTCAAGGACAACCTGTAAGGGAGCAAAGTTCAGGGGCTGGAAACCAGCCGCCTCCCTCCATCTGGCTCTAACCTTTAACCAGAGTAGCCATTTTATTGTTTTAATCACATCTGTTCCCGGAGCTCTTGACAAAACTAATCTGAGATTCTCTTTTTCTCTATGAGAGTTCACTTTCACCGTAGTTCGAATTCATGTCCACTCAACAAAATTACAAGACTTGGCCTGAAATTAAATTTTTAGTTTACTCACAGAAATTAAAAATATTCCTATCAGAACCTCAAATGCCCCCCTTGCTGCTTTTGTCTTAAGAAATAAATATCACGCTCTCCTGCTACTAATTCAATTTTACATTTTCAAGTACTAATGTGAAAATTCCAAAGGCAGGCCTTAAAACATGGCCCACCTATCAAATGATGCTGTTTATAACCTGGAACTCATGCTTCTTATCACTGGCCTTTTACTAAGTCGACATTAGTTCACTATTTAACGCAGACACCGACCCCTTGCTGCCCTCATGTCCTGTCCAAGTACCAGGCATCAGGGCTGGCTGGTTCTGCCATTCCTCCAGCCCGCCTAGAGGATCACAACAGAGGAAGTGCAGGGGAGGACAGCAATCAACTTCTTGTTATCCCACAGCCTCTATTTTCCCAGAACTGATGTCTTACTTGAAGGCTTTTGCAACAGTGGTCTCTGTAGCATGCACTATTGGCAACTAGATGTGTCCCGGAAAAAACTGTAGTGTCTGGCCAAATTTAAAGGCCTTCGAGAATGCTTGCTGGACACACAACCTAATTTCCAATTTACCAAAAAAAGAAAGCAACTTCCTATTATGCCCACCCATCCTCACGCCAACATCCATTTCAGGAAGGTTACAGAAAATGAACTCTGCCTCATTCAGAACCAGCTGGATTATCAATTAAACATTCAAGGCTCACAACAAGAAATATCCCACCAGACACTACACCAAACCAACAGGGACACGGCTGTTAAAAATCCTGGATATATTAGGAACAGGATAAAAATTCCTATGGAAGGAATTTAAAGATTTATTCATCACATGTAAAATAACAAACCTGAAGGCTGAGTCTCCTTACTTACTACCCTACTAGAGAAATAACATCGTGTTACACACTCCAAGAACATGGCCCATAATAAGGCCCAGCAAACAACACTCGTGAAAACCATTAATTTACCACCAATGTCAGGCTGTGTTCATAAACCTTTACCATGACTATCAGACCCCACGACGCACTACCTATGCCACAGAGCAGCGAAGACCCAGGAACACGCATGAGATGCCTTAGCAGAAGCATTAGCCTGTGAACAAAGACCCCACCGCACAGGCTGCACCACTGGGAACAAATATCAAGGCTGGAGGCAATGAACTTGTTTTTGAGACTCCAAAGTGGGATGAGGTCTTCTGTTGATTGTCTGGTTTACAAAGGAAGCCAGAACCCACCTGAGAACCATTCTTTTTAGTGGAGAGAAGAGAACCACAGGACATACATCTGATCTCCCACTGCTGGAAGGTTAGGGGCTGCTGAGAAGTCAAAGCAGCAGGCTTTGTACATCGGGAGCCGATACAGACCTGATCAGCTCTCCCAGATCTATCTGTGGGTCAATAATCACTTCAGTATAACTGCCAAGTATAACCTTCATCTGCTACCCCAATGCCAACACGCATTTGAGACGACTCCCTTAAGTTAAATATTTTAGGGTTTCATCTGCTCTCCTCAAGCCCCCACAGCCTCACAAACAAGACACCCAGCTGAGCGTCCCACAGAAAGGGGCTACCTCTGCAGCGGGAAGGGTGCGGGTGCTACCAGGGAGCAGAAGCCTGTGGGGTTTGGAAGGTAAGGGGTGTGTGAGGTGGGGGAGTGGGTAGGGAAGGGG